TGCATCAGGTCCCCCTCAGTTTCAGCAAGCAGGGTTAGGAAAGTTAAAAAGCTGTACCTCAGGTTGGTAGCCGGTTACGGTCACTCAGTCAGCCTAGCTTCTGAAGCTTGCTCACAGAGCTTTCAGTCTTCGGCTTCACATCTTTAGACCAGTGTTACGAAGCTCTCAGTCCTGCCAGTTATGGCTCTTCCCACCCTAGTCCTCCAGCAAACTTGTGCAAAAGCTCCTAAATCTGGTTCTGTGGGGTAGCAGTTCCAAGGTAGTCTCTTCCAAGGACATGGCAAAGTCAAAGTCAGTGACTCGGAAAGTAATTTTGAACAATAAACCCTTAATACCACACTGCTTTGTCTTCTTTCATGGAATGGCCAATTGTTTAAACCCATTGACTTTTTTACTTAGCAGATGAGCATTTTATCCACAGTGCCGCCAGGACTTTTAAAAATGTACACATTCACACTCCTACCTCCCATCTCCTAACCCAAACCAGATCCTCTGTTGTCAAGCCAACAGCCCTCTTTCAGGTTCCCGCAGCTGTATATCTTAAAGACAGTATACTGTTTGTCTTTCTTTATGGATTTGAACTACCTATCTTTGGGTTAATAGCCCAATGCCACTCGGGCTTTTTTCTTTTTAAACTTTTTTTAAAAAAAAAGGAAAAGAAGCACAGGAGCGGTTTAAATGGACAGATAAAGTCTTTGTTTTGCCCTTTTTAAAGACTGCTGCCTGGATTTAATTAGAACTGAGAACTAGGGTAAGTCACCCAAATCTTTTGCTTTCTGATAGAATTGAAAGAATTTAGATCTATAGCCAGTTAACAGGCCTAGGGGGAAAAGAATTAGCATTTAGTATCAAGCACTTAATGTACCTTAGCTTATTTAATCCTTTCAAACCAACCTAGATAGGTCTTTTACAGATGAGAAAACTGATGAGAAGGAAGATTAAGTTATTTGCCCAAGGTATAAAGCTCCTTAGACTCTCTCACTCTTAACTTTTTAAACTTTGCCACAATGTTTGGCCAAACAACATTGTGTACTTTGCTTTTGTTCGCTGTAGATTCTTTTCTTGATTCTTTCTAGGCCTTAGACTATTTACTTTAGACATTTGGGAGAGAAAAAAGTTTGGTTCAATGTATACATTTTTCCTGGGGTTGGTTTGTTCTTTTTCTCTCCTCCACAGTATTTCTGTTTAAACATTTTCATCTATAGAAATCATATTTGTCTTTGCATTATTTTGTCTGTTCTCTTAGAAAGTGTTTATCTGTTGTAGTTCAAGTCATTGTGTAACAGAAGAGGAAAGAAATGGAAACTTATCACAGGTAAATGCATGTTCCTCAGTTGTTTTATGTTATATCTAGTTCTGGAATGAAGAATTCTAGTGATTTAAGCAGTGGTCGTAATGGTAAGGAGTAGCAGCAGTAAGAACAAATGAGTAGCTAGAGCTATTGCTTACTAAGCTGTCACCATGTGCATGTGTATATATTCCCCTATTTCTAAGTACTTATATTGAACCCCGGACCCACTGCCATCAAGTGCATTCCAACTCCTGGCCTCCCTCCACTGGCTTCCAAGGCGTACCAGGAGACTACCTCATCGTCCTCATGCAAGTGGCTGATGGATTTGAACGGCTCACCATTTGGTTAGCACACCAAGTGACCCACTACCCCACCAGGGCTCCTTGATACTGGCTTTTAACTGAATCTCATAAACTTTAAAGATATTATCTCTGTTTTATAGATGAGAACATCAAGGAACAGATTAGAAATGTGCCCAAGCTCACGTAACTAATATACAGACTATATACTGAGTAGTCAGTCCTAAGTCTAAATGTATTGAAGTTTATTTCCAACCAATTAAATACTTTACTGACATGTCTTTCAATCAATTTGTTTATACCTTTTACCTGGGACTTGGTTTGTGGCAATTTTTAATTGGGATATTGGTAATAAATTATCATCAGTGTATAAATATAAATGACTAGGACCTCTGGGGATATGTGGGTGGCATTTGAATTCTCAAGGAAATAAGGCAATCCATTTTTTTTAGGCAATCTGTTTTACTATATGTTACTAACTGTAACGTTTAAAAAATTCAGGTATTAGTGTGTGACTGATTCATGACATTGGTTAATTTATTCTACAGGATGTCATTGAAATTGAAAATTTGATATGTTTAAATACTGACTAGGCAAATAAGTTGTTTTAGATTCTATTAGTTAAGGAGATTGTTAAAATTGTTTGGAAGGAATGCTAATAAGCAAAATAAATAGGTTTTCTGTTTAGCAAGCAGTAATAGTGGACTCAGGGAGGCCTGGTGGAATAGTGTAACATGTCGTTTTGTTAACCAAAAGTTGGTAGTCCAAATCTCCCAGCAAGTAAAAAGGCAAATGTTGGCAGTCTCCTGCTTTAAAGATCTTTAGCCGTGAAAACCTGTTGGAGGATAGTTGTGAATCTGTCACCTTGATACAGATTTAGTGCTAGATTCAGGGATCCCTGGTGGTACAGTGGTTAAGTGCTTAGCTGCAACTTAACGTTCAGTAGTTCAAGTCCATCAGTGTACCCATCAACAAACGAATGGATAGGTAAGCTGTGGTATATTCACACAATGGAATATTATGCAGCACGGAAAAACAAAGAACTCATGAAATATTATACAAAATGGGTCACCATGGAGGACATTATGCTGAGTGAAAGAAGTTAGCCACATATCCCCAGAGGTCCACATGGGAGTTAGGGGAAACTAAGAAAAGAGGGGATAAATAATGTACACGGCATTGAAATAGATGAGAGAGTGAACTGTATAAAAGGAGTATATGATTGATTAAGTATTATTGGCATGACAAGTGTTTGGGGTTTGGGGGAACAACTGTGTAACAGTGAAAGATTTTTTTTCCCAATGGGTGGAGGGGGTCAGGGAGGAAAATGTGCATCAATGAATGGATAGAAATCTAAGTTCTCCATTAACTTGCATTAAAATCTCAATAAACAAACAAAAAACCAAACAACCAAATCCATCAGTGCTTCAGAAGAGAGATGTTGGCATCCTGCTTGTGTAAAGATTACCACCTTGGAAACCGTGTGGGTCAGTTTCACCCTGTACAACAGGACAGAGATCTACTGGGTCCACTATGAGTTGGAATTGACTCAGTAGTAGAGTTTTAACACTGGATTTTAAGATTCTATTTTGCAGGAAGAAAGTTATAGCTAATAGAGACAGGTGTGTGGGTTGTTTTTTTTTAAAATTGGAGAAAATGTTATTATTTAAGAAATAGGGCAGCTGTTTTCCAATATATGGAGTCACTCCGAATAGAAATTTACTTGATGACAGCTAAAAGCACCATATGTTTTAATGTTAAACTCAGCTTTTGTGTTTGATTTTTCTCCTTTTTTTTTAGTTCTTCACCAGAGGACATGGATGAAAATGAAAGTGATCAGTTCTTGCTGACCAGCAGCCAGTATCCTAAGGAAGTGGTCAGAAAACGTCAAAATTCAGCCCGGGATTCCAGAGGAAGTGATTCTTCTAGATGTTCCAGGAAAAGCTTCAGACTGGACTACAGATTAGAGGAAGATGTAACAAAATCAAAGAGAGGGAAAGATGGGAGATTCATTAACCCTTGGCCAACGTGGAAAAATCCCTCTTTTTCAAATGCTCTCAAATGGCTGATAATGGAAAAGAATCATAGCAGTATTCCTAGTTCCAAAGAGGTAGCCTGGGACTTTTTGGAGTGTTTTGTATTTGCTTTTAGAACTTGTTAGTTAACTTAGCTATAAAGTCTGTTATGACATTCACATGAAGTAGTTGTTGTCAGAATCCAGACTCATTGACCTTGAGTTGGAACTGACTGAGAGCTCACATTCCCATTTGGAATTGTAAGGGTTTGGGATGGGGAGAACCATCTGAGTAGGATGTGCTCTGGAATAATCACAGTGCTTTGCTCTGAGCTGTGTGCATACAGCTGAGATCCAAGATCTACAAGCACATGATCAGAAACTTGCTTTTCAGAGGCTCACTGGATTCTGGGGGTTGTTGCCCCAGCCAACTGTTTCATCATGCTTTATTAGGACACTGTAACCCTTTCCTTCAGTCCTAAAGAAGGACTTAGAATAGAAATCTTTAGGGGAGCTCTGGTGGCCTAGTGGCAAGGAGCTACAACTACAATCCCAGAGGGCATGGTTCAAATCCACCAGATGCTCTGCCGGGGAAGGAGGGACAATCTCCTCCTGTACCAGTCAGATCTGATTTGACAGTGCACGCACACAAAAAGAATAAAATTAAAAAAAAAAAAAAGCACTTTGGGGGAAAAAAAAAAGAAGAATAGAAATCTTTTAGGCATTATCTTACCTTCTTATTTATCCATTTTAAAAAGTCCTCAGCTCTTTATTAATTTTCTTTCTCTCACTCCCCCCACCCCGAGGCAGTTTTGAGCTGCAGGTGTGTCAGCTGAGTGGCATGGCAATGGAAGTAGCAGAATGACTGCTTCTAGGTCGGTCAGCTGCCGTCACTGCCTGGGAAAAAAACCTTTTAATAAATTTAGCCATCTTCAAAGTTTAGTGTTCCCTTTGCACATTGTTCCTGGGACTAAGAATATCTTACTTTATTATATTGTCATGGTTATCCAGACAGAGTCAGAAGGAAGTTAAATATATGTGTTCTCAAGGCAAAATGAAAAATAGCAGGGTTATTGAATGACTTCAGTTCCCCCAAAATAGCTAGCCCTCCTCTCTGTAATTTAGGTCAGAATGCCCTCTGATGAAATGTACCTTCTTTCCCATTTCACTGCTGCTTTTTCTTTCTTTTTATACATAGGAACTGGATAAAGCACTCCCAGTGCTTAAACCATATTTTGTTGATAAACCCGAGGAAGCAGGAGTGAGAGAAGCCGGCTTGAGGGTTACGTGGCTGGGGCATGCGACAGTATTGGTGGAAATGGACGAACTCATATTCCTCACGGACCCCATCTTCAGCCACCGCGCATCGCCATCACAATGTGTGGGTCCAAAGCGCTTTCGGCCCCCTCCTTGCTCAATACGTGACCTCCCCCCGATAGATGCGGTCCTTATCAGTCACAACCACTATGACCACCTGGACTACAACTCGGTCATTGCTCTGAATGAGCGATTCGGCAGTGATCTGAGGTGGTTTGTGCCTTTGGGGCTCCTTGACTGGATGCAGAGATGTGGCTGTGAGGATGTGATTGAGCTGGACTGGTGGGAGGAGAACTGTGTCCCCAGACATGACAATGTCACCTTTGTGTTTACGCCTTCCCAACACTGGTGCAAGAGGACGCTAACGGATGACAATGAGGTTCTGTGGGGCAGCTGGTCTGTCCTGGGACCTTGGAATAGATTTTTTTTTGCAGGAGATACTGGTTATTGCACTGCTTTTGAAGAAATTGGAAGAAGATTTGGACCTTTTGATCTTGCAGTGATTCCCACTGGAGCTTATGAGCCAAGGTATGCAGACTTCCAAAGGTGACCTCAGATGCAATCCCAGAGGTGTGCTGTTCAAACCCACCAGATGCTCTGCTGGAAAAGGAGGGACAGTCTCCTCCTGTGCCAGTCAGATCTGATTTGGTGGTACACACACACACACACATAAGAAAAAAAATAAGAATAAAAAAAAATTACCTCAGAGAAAATATTCCTACTGCTTTAATAACTAAATTGAATTTAAAAAGAAAGCACTTATGTGCTTAATTAAAGTGTTAAGCACTTCGTGCTTAACACATTTGTGTTAAGATTTGTGATGTTAATGGTGAGGTCGATGGTGATTCAACCTTGAGTAAGTTTTAAAAACTATTTAATCATAATCATGTGAATGATTACTCAAAATCAGAAAGAATACTATTCAGGGAAAAAGATTAAAGATTATATATAGTCAAAAGTTCACATATTATTTCAACTAAATTGAACTTATGAGCAGTTTGTAATCTAAATTTTGTTCTTATTCTTAAGTTGGGACTGTTTTCAGCATGTAACGAATTTTCTCTCCATGACTGAGGTTCAGTGACCCAGTGTCCAGATTTATTAGACAGAGAAGCCATGGAATTGGTTTACTCATGAGTTCTCTGTGATGGTCTTATTTCAGTCAGCACTGATGTGAACTTGGCAGTGACTTTGTTGTGTTACTTACCACTCTCTTTCCAGCCTGGCCTGTATGTTCTTGTCACATATCTTCAGAACACCTAGAGATCACACTATTGTTTGAGGCCTAGGAGAGCTGTCCCCTTTCCCTTATTTTTTCTTGATATTATCTGCTTAGAAAAGAGATTGAAAAGAGTTCAGTTTTATTTTTGTCTGCTCGGTTTGTATGTGCAGGTAAAGAGGAAATAAACATTCATAGTAGAAAAAGAAGAGAAAATAATTTATCCTAATGTGCAGGCACAGGTGTGAATACAAAGGCTTTTTATTTAGGAAATCCCTTGATGGTACAAATGGTTAACACACTTGGCTGCTAAGTGAAAGACTGGTGGTTTGAGTCTAGAGGTACCTTGGATGAAAAGTCTGGTGATCCACTTTTGAAAAGCAGCTGTTGAAAATCCTATGGAGCGCAGTGCTTCCCTGACACATAACGGACCCCAGGAGTCAGAGTCAACTCCACTGCCCCTGGATAAAACACAAGCAGAAATGCGGCTCTTTACTGTCTGGATAAATGGAGCACATATGAACTTCATCCAATTTTGTTATGCTTCTTTAAATGCTATCATTTTGAGTTCACCAAAAATTATTTTTCTAAACCTTCACAATACTTCTTTCTGGATTCCTGTGATATCTTTGATATTTTCATTTCCTTGATTTCCAATAACTAGAGAAAGTTGTGTTACCAATACGTGCTGTCGAGATGGAGCCAATTCAGCTGGCCCTCCTGTGGGCCATCTTTCTCCTTTGGAGCCTTTGAGTCGTTGGCAGCATAATCCTTATCACTAGTAATTGTGAACATCTAAAATAATTGAAAACCTGGATTTACGTTGTTCTCTTTTCTTTAGATGAGTTAAAATTCTACTGAAACCTCTGAAACATCAACCAACCTTACATTACAGATTAATTTCCCTTGGTGCTGAGCTTCACTGAATGTATGCTCTTAAGATATTGGAATCTCTTATTTGTAATTAGAAAATAAAAAAAAAAAAGAAAATCCAAGTTTTCACAGTTGGCTTTTGTAGAATGTGATTCTTTTTTTTTAATTTTTATTTTATTATTTTTGTGTGAGTGTACCGTCAGATCAGATCTGACTGGTACAGGAGGAGATTGTCCCTCCTTCCCCGGCAGAGCATCTGGTGGATTCGAACCGTGCGCCTCTGGGATTGTAGTTTAGAATGTGATTCTAAAGAAGAATTGATATAACTTGAGCAGCCAAATCACAACACATTTGGCCACAACACATTCCTGCTCTCAAAGGCAGGCGTTGGATGGGAGCAGGACAGGGAGGACATTAGAATCTTAAGAGAACTCAGTCATGGAATCTGCTGTCACTGACGGGTCTATCCATGTCACTTATGATTTAAAATATTTGTTTTTTAGTTTCCATAATTATTGGTTGCTTCTGTAGTTGGGAAATGTCTTTCATCTGCTCTTTTCTGTAAAATGTTTGTCAGATACTGAGCATTCAAATTAAGACAGACGAGGAAGAAGGATGAGCCATCCACTTCTGAAATAACAGGCCTTCGAAAACCCTATGGACAATAAAACACACTTAGACTAGCAGACAGGGCCACTGAGGTTGAGCCATCAAATATGGAAAGACACTGAGTGATTGGAATGTGGAATGTGAGAAACATGAATATAGGAAAGTTGAACATTGTTAAGAAAGAAATAGAATGCATAAATATTGACATGTTAGCTTTTGGCGAAACGGGATGGATTAGCGTGGGACATTTTTAACCAGACACGATTGTATGATCTACTAAGATGTAAATGAAAAGGTGAGGGAAAATGGGGTTGCTTTCATAGTTTAAAAAGTCCTTTCTAGATCTGTCTTGAAATACAGTGTTGTGAGTGATAGGATAATATCCATATGCACACAAGGAAGTCCAGTGAATATCACTATCATTCAAATTTATGCACCAGCATCTAGAGCCCAAAACTAGAAAATAGAAAATTTCTACCTATTGTTGCAGCCAGAAATTGATCGAACATGAAGTCAAGATGCATTGAATAATATTGGGTAACTAGAAAGCAAATGTTGTGAACAGAGAACGATCAGTAGTTGGAAAACGTGGACTTGGTGACAGAAATGAGGCCGGAGATAGAATGATAGAATTCTGTACATTCAATGATTTGTTCCTTGCAAATACTTTTTATAAGAACTATACACAGAACTGTAACACAGACTATACACATGGAATTCGCCTATTGGTATGCATAGAAATTACATTGATTACATCTGTGGAAAGAATCACTGGAGAAGATCAATATCAGCTGTGAAAACTAGGCCAGGTGCTGATTGTGGAACAGACCACCAACTACACGTGCAAGTTCAAGCTGAAATGAAGAAAAATTAAATCCACGGGAACCAAATTTGACCTTTAGTCTATCCCACTTGAATTTCAAATCCATCTCAGGAACAGATTTGAGGCTTTGAACACTAATGAGCAAAGACCAGATGAGCTGTGGGAGGACATCGAGAATATCCATTCCAGAATAAATATTTTACACTTATTTCATGAGAATAGAAGATAATGTGACCATCCCTTTGATGTGCAGTTTTTTGACACCAAAAACCATTTCATCTTGCTCAGACTTACCCTTGCCAGGGGAAGGGGTGGACCAGTACTTCTGAAGAGCTCTAATTGAGACAAACACAATGACTTTGTTTTTGGATTCTAGGGAATCCAGCTCCTTCCAACAGTAAATAACCACCCTCTAGCTACTGCAGATGGATGAACTTGCCACAATGTGTCTCTGAAGTACAGGAGGATCTAGGCTGAATCCATTTCTAACATCCTTAATTGTAGCATTAGTCAGCAGTAGTGGGCTGGAGATAGAAATAATGTGAAGAGAGTGAGTTTTTTTTCTCCCCTAAATCAGTGGCTTGGAAAGCAGAGCATTTGCTTATAAACAGTACAATTTCCCATTGAATCAGACATAATCCTTATGAAAGTGAAATAGGTACTGTACCTGGTATTTTCATTAGTACTTTCATAAACAGGTACCAGGTGTTTGGTGTTGTGTACCTTTGAGTCAGAACTGACACATAGCTGACCCTCCAGTGGGTTTTCAGAGCAATTAGTCATGTGGGATGAGACTGCCCACCCTTCTCCCACTGAGCAGCTGGCAGCTGGTGGATTTGAAACACATGCCTTTGGGATTGCAGTGCAGCTTCTTACCACTAGGCTACCAGCTAGAGTACCTATTTCACAAAAGAGTAATGGCTTGCCAAAACCAGCACTTTGAGCTGTGGGTCAGTTCCAACTTGATGGCAAACAACCACAGTCCTTACAAGTTTAGGAGGTGGGTATAGTTTATGAGGAATCGATGAGGAATTGATACCGTCTGTTTCACAGGCAAGGCAACCATAGCTCAGAGTATGTGAAGAGTCGTCACAGAAATTGATAGAGCCATAGCTCACCCCTGGACTTCTGTCTCCAGAGTCTTGTTTTTTTCAAGGCAGCCTTTCAGTGTCTCCAAAATACCTACTGTCATTACCCATTATTTCTTATACTTTTTGTTCTTGTCAAATCAAACAAATCTTTGTTCACTTTTTGATGTTTAATGAAAATTCCTTGAAGAGCCATTAAACTTTTTTTTTTGGTGCTCCCAGGTTTTGAATATTACACCATAATTTTAATTTCATTTTTGCTTTAGCAGATATAAAAAAAATTGACTTTGCAGGTTATTTAGGCTCCTTTTCAGTTGCATTTCTGGCATTCAGTTCTTCACCTGGATTGCAAAGAGCGCCTTTCAAAGGCAGGGATAAGATGCATTTTTTTT